TACAAACTACAATACCCATGGGGCTCCTGGGCAAGAATGGGGCTGTAAAGCGATTGCCCGCCCGTTGCCTGCTGGGAGTTGTAGTTTTTATCCAAAATGGCAAGGTAAGACGTAGGGAAAGTGAACTCCTAGCCCTGGCAAGCCTGGATTCTGCATCCCAGCCTTCTCCACGCCCGAACCCAGTAGACTCTGCCTTCAGCCTTTCCCTCCCGTCGCCCCCTGCCCCTAGCAATTCTAACACTAGACCCCTCCTTTCCCAGGACCCAGGGTTCCCACGCACTGCCGTGCCCTCACCGACAGCCCCATTTAAGGTAGACTGTATATCTGGCAGGTCCTTGAAATTGTCGACGGCCTCTCTTATCTTTTCCATCACTTCCCTGTGCCGCCCGGGGGCAAGGTGGGGTCGCAAGTATTCTTTTTCCAAGGCGTCCAACTGCTTCCCAACCCTCTCATCACACGTGATACAGCTCCGGGCAGGAAGCAGGCAGCCGGCTAGCGCCGCCACCAGGAGGGCAACTTGGGGACCCATTTCCCCAGGGCGCTCAGCCCCAGCAGAACCCACCAGGACTATCTGGACTTTATGGGGAGGGTCCGCCCACCCCACACGGAGGAGGAAGTGATCGCTAAGGGGAAAGAACCCTTTCCCGGAGACAAGACCCCCAATTTGTTGGGCTCCCACTTCTCGGTTAGGAAACCGAGGAGTCCGGAGTCCCGATGCACCCTGAACAGCCGCTCTCCGACCTTGAGCTTGAAGGGTGTACCCTCGAATACACGTAGGGTTCACTGAATAGCGGAATCCAGGCTGAGGGCGTTTAGAGGGACGAGCCGGCCACCTCCCTCCAGTCTATTTTGCCATGAGTCCTCTTAAGGATGTTGTTGGAGCGAGGGTGAGGTTGGTCACGTGACGTGGAGAACTTTGTGACTGGAGTCAGGCTCGAGGATCGCCTCGAGGTACAATGGAATCCCACAGCCGCCGCCTTCTACCTGCCTACACTGGGCCCCCGACTTCCCTAGAGACACTCCCAGGACGCTCCATTGGCCCCGCCCAGAAATCCAACTCTGAGTCTGATTGGACGGCAACAAAGGGAGGCTCCGCCTATGGTTCCAGGATGATGCGGACCGCCCCCTCTCACGCTAGACCTTTTCATGTATTCCTTCCAGATGAGGCCCTTGAGCGGTCGCGTTGGGGTAGAGGGGTGGCTCAGACTAATGAGTGCGGGTGGAGGAGAAGGATGGGAGCCTAACTCCTGGGTGCTCTCATGGGAGATGCCTGGGGACTGGCTCTTGGGTCTGAAGTAGGAGGCGTGAGGATACCCGGGTCCCCGATTCTTACCCTGCGTCAAGTCCCAACAGCACCCCGGCGTCCTGTTTCCGCTCTCCCTGGTTGGTTCCCAAACCCGCTGTTCATGTTCAGCCTTTGCCTCTGCCCCGGCTCACAGCAGTGGCTGGGGGACAGGAAAACCCCAGAGGAAAGCCGGCTGGAAGGGTGAGGAGGGGGCGTCCTGTCAAGAGATGGGCCTGGGGGAGGAGATCTGGGTAGGGCTGGCTCTTCCCCACTCCTCGGTGCTGGAATTACATCTCAGCCAGGTGGCCCCGCCATGACGAAGGGGCCCCGCCTCCGGGTCTCTCCTAGGACTGGAGACCAGCCCCAGAGCTCTCCTCTCAGGAAACCAAAACTGAGGATCAGACCCGAGGAAATGAATCTGACATTTCAGCAACCGGATAAATCTTTATTTGTGACTTGGTCCTGTGTCCTTGTCCTTCGGTACTTTGAGAACGTGGCTCTGTGACAGCTGACTCTGTGGAGCCTGGTCCCGCGGAGCCGCTGCCATTTCGGTGTGGTATCTGGACTTTACGGAATCGATCACCACCCCAGACCGAAAGCAGAGTATGCTGGGGGAGGGTGGGGCACAAAACGTGGTACAGGATCAGGTCCCCAGTGAGGGACACCTTCCCCAGCCTCCTAATACCTGATCATTTTCTAGCAGTGGCCTAAGCTTGGCCCACCTGGGTAAGCCCCACCCAGTTTTCTAAGCCCCATCCCCCACAGGACCTCTCCTGCAGTAGGAAGGTGGAGACCCCGCCCCTCTCTCCGCGTCCTGCCTCTTCAGTGGTTGGCTCACCCGGTGACAAAGCCCAGGATCAGCAACAAAAATGACCAGAGCAGCAGCCCTATCAGAAGGCCTGTCTGCACGTTCTTCGGGTTTGAACACTCGGAGGGCCGGAGGGTTGGGGACGGGTCACCCCAGATTTCCTCAGCCTCGGTTCCAATGGCTGGGGACTGTGTTCTAATGGTTGGTGACTGGGTTTCGGTGCTTGATGGCTGGGTTACAAAGGTCGAAGACTTGGACGTTATCTCCCCAAAGATTCTTTGAGGCAACACTGACAGAGGAGAGGGAAAGAGCCGACCTGAGCAGGCCCCAAGGGTCCGCCCTGGCCCAGGCATGCTCTCTCCACACCAACCTCCCCCAAGACCCAGGCCTTCAGGGAGATAATTATGACCTTCACTGCTGGAAGGCCGGTCAGTGAGAGCGGTGGCCACACCCAGAACAGGGAGCCCCACCCCCGTGGCCTGAATCCACACCCCGAAGGGAAGTTTTAACCCGAAGACCACGCCCCCACGCTGCCTGCCATCCCCCAAACCCAGGACCCTGGTTCCCACACCTCCGTGGACTCCCCAGCTCTGACCTGTGACTTGAAAATGGATGACCGTGGCTGGGCCGGATCGCTCAATGCCCAACTCGCAGCGGTAGGTACCTGCATCCTCTGGCCTCACGAGGGGCTTGGTCAGGGTGGGCCATTTCCCCTTGTACAACAAGGTCTCAGAATTGCTCCCCCAAACCTAGGCCCAAAGCTCAAGGGGTCACAGAGGCCTGGGGGAATTCAGGGGTTGGGGAAGTACAGGGGTGAGAACACCACGGGATCTCAGTGGGGGAGATGGGAGTCCAGGGTATACTGCTAAGGGGATGGGGTCCCCGGGGATCAGAAGTCAAACTTGGTAGGTCATGGGTCATAGGGATCGTGAGACCAAGGCTGTGGATATAGAGGTGGGGGCTCACAGAAGTCTAATGGACTTGGGGTTGATGGGGTTGAAGGGCCCACCCTGTAAAAGCTGTAATAGGTCAGGCCTTGAGATAACTTATGCCAGTTGAGCTCACAGTCCAGGATCATGTCTTCCTTTTCATGGACGTTGATGTGGCGAACTGGGGACAGGGGATTAAGGTCGGGTGTTTCTTCAAGGTTGCTGGCCCTCTCTCAACTCCCCCCACTTGGGCTCCGCCCTGCTTTTTCTCCAGTCTCCGCCCTCTCTAGACTCAGGCTGCCCTCTGGCTCCGCCCCTCTCTTGCCAACCCCTGCAGCTGGCCCCAGCTCTCTCACCCCCGCAATCCCTGGACTTTCGACAAATGTAATTGTCCTGGACGCAATTACTGCACCACATCAGACGCTGCAACATCGTACCTGAAGGGGCATGAACGAAGCGCTATTGGCCCCCAGAGGTCAGGCTACACGGAGAGGGCGGGGCCAAGGTCTGGGGAGGACTCAGGCGCCTAATCCCTGGAGGTCAGCCCAAGGGGTGGGGCTAGAAGGCAGTACTTGGGAAGACGGATGGAACCAGGCTCAGTAAAGAGCACAGGTAGAATATGACCCGCTGCCCAGTAAGACCGCTCGCTGTGCAGAAGGGCTTGGAGACCAGGAACTTCTGTGACGTGGAGAATGAAGAACCATCGAGACCCAACGCGGGAGGAGACAGGCTGGGTATTAACCCAGCGAGGATAAGGAATAGAGGACCAGCTCCCATAATCCGGACTCACCACATTTGTTGGGACATAAATCTGCCTCGATAGAAAAAAAAAAAAAAATCAGATCAAAGATGAAGTACTTGAGAGAAAGGACGAAGAACTACGTTTTGGGTTGGGCTCTTGGGTTGGAGGGCGGAAAGACCCAGATGTCTGGATCTCTGGGTCCCAGGGAGTACCGGATCCGCAGACATGAGGAAGTGAACATAGAGAAGCAGGGGGCTGGGGGCAGAGACCCTGGGATTGTTGGAGGAAGGGGCTGTGGTCGCGTACAGAACCCATCATCCCTCACCCTCTCGTTGGAACCGAAGGATGTAGCTCTGAAAGGTTGCCTTTTCCCGAGTCAATATCTTGGAGACCTCCTTCTCGAAAGAGGCATCTGGGAAGGAGCACGGTGACAGAGTGCCTTCCCCTCCCCACCCACCCCAGGAGGAAGTTCCTTCTGTGTGAAGAGATTGGCATTCCACGTTGGGGCCATCTCAGGGAGGGACAGTGAAAATTGAATGACCACTTAACAATGCCGCCGCTGAGCAAAGTGACGCCTGCATGCAGACGCTGTTAGGACCCATTTTGGAGGGGACAAACCTGGGAAATTCCTCCCTCAAGGCCACACAGCAAGGGGTGACTGGGCGGGAAGCTGAACCGAGGCAGGTGGGCTCCAGAGCCACTACCAGACCCGTCCTCACCAAAAAATATTTCTCTAAAAGTTTCTGGAGCCCCATCCCCTGGCCCCTGTGTGGATTTACCTGCTGCACCACTGTTTCTGATAAGTCTCACACTCCTCAGAAAACTTAAGACT